GTTACTACATCAGGTCAGAAATCCAACGACTACATGGACTTCTCGTTCGTGTGATGGATGATCCCGGATTCTTGACTACCTGCAGGTTTGTATCTAATATAGCCAGAAAAGGAAACCACCATAGATGCGTGAAGATTGGAAAACTGCAAACGTAAACGAGCATTGACTTCTTCTGAATTTACGAGTCTAGATTGAACATTGGTTCCAAAGCTTCTGGAAATGCGTCTTATGCCTTATCCAAGCTACCTGCATTAGTTCCAGCGGGAAAAGCGGAGCTTGTTGAGCCATAAGCATAGGGTCACCAGGACTGCTACGCATATGATCTGCGCCACCCTCCTCTTCCGCTTAGTAATCGAATTGTTGCTTGGTTCGGACCCTATTAGTTTGATTTGCTTGGTGTACCAATCCTGATATCGGAGATTTAGTCTATATTCACCGTCCCAACGCTACTGCTTGGAAGTGGATTTGGAACTTACCCGCTCCGGGGCCACACCAAGGAGCTTAATGCCAAGGTATTGAGCAGCCTTCCCTGGCGGAATTTTCTTTACGCGCTGGACTGCGTCTTGGTGACGCGTTTCGGGGTTGAGTATCAAGGTGCATGGAAGCAGGGGGTTCATGACGGCTGGCCTCGCAACACCGATCAAGTCACAGCTGTTGTCGGCCAGTGCCGCTTCCATGCCGTGGCGCGAGCGAAATCCGCCCGTAACCATGAGTGGAACATATGGGAACTGGGCGCGAACAGCTTCAGCAAACTCGATGAAGAAAGCCTCGCGCGCGACGCTGCTAGCTTTTCTGGCGTTCGCACTAGGCCCCGTGTTGAAGGTGGGGTCCTCAAAACTACCGCCGCTGATCTCGAGGAAGTCGATTCCAGCTTCCGCAATGACCCTGATTTGCTCGATACAGTCGGCCATGCCGGCAGCACTTCCAACGTCGACGGAGTTGAGCTTGAGCCCCACGCAGAAATCTGGCGGGACCGCCACGCGAACGGCACGGATAACTTCGACGACAATACGGGCGCGAGAATGGGCACTACCGCCGTAGGCATCTGTGCGGACGTTAGATCGTGGTGATAGAAACTGGGCGAGCAGGTATCCATGCGCCGCATGCAGCTCGACGCCTGCGAACCCAGCAGCCGCCATTAGACGTGCAGCATTGGCGAAGTTCCGGATCGTGGTGTGAATCTCGGCGACTGTCATAGCGCGCGGGGTGTCGAAGACGAAGGAGTTGAGCAGGCGCGGCATGAGACCGGTGCCGAAGTCCATGGGTATTGCGCTGGGTGCTACGGTTCCCTTGCCGAAGGCAATTTGGCGCCCGGGATGACACAGCTGGACCAAGGCATGACATGTGCCGCCATTCGAACACGCTTTGGACCAGGCTGTGAAAGCCGCGAGTGTGGTGGCCTCGGGCAGGGCACTGTTGATGGCAAAGTCATGGGGATCGCCGAGATGATCTGGGTCGACTTGCACGTTGCCTGTGATGTTGTTGCCAGTCAGAAACAGCACATGTTGTAATGAAGAGATTCGATCTTGAAAGAAATAGCAGAGTGAAATCTTTCATACCTGTTATGATGAGTCCCCATCCGCCCTGAGACCATCTCCGATAGACAGCCAAGCATTCTTCACTGCCTGGCAAATGGTGCTCATCAGCCTTGCCTAGGCACTCGGCCATGGCTGCTTTGACCAGTCGATTTGGCAGCTTCAGGCCGCATTTCAGACGAATTGGCTTGGAAAGAGTGAGTTCCATGTTGCATCCGCTGCGCTTCACCACAAAGTCTTCACAAGCACCTGTAATGGAGTCCCTCGCCCCTACTCGCTTTTCACAATCAGCGCTCCAAAGCCTTTCCATTTTTGTGTAAATGCTGTTTTACATCACCCCAGAGCGATGCGGAGAGATTTACAAAGCCGACGGGCCAATTGGTACGTTCCTTTGGGTAACAGTCGGAGATGGTGCTGACTGGCAGACTCCGCCGGCTATAACTGCGATATCCCGAATATCCCGCGATTCGGTAAACAGTGGTATCATGCATGATGCACAAGTTGCAGAATACTCCGGATCGCTCCTGTGTCAGATGTTCTTCGGTTCACTCGTGTTTGTGCCTTGAGCGCCCCGACCAGACGCACCAAACGACGCAAAAGGCATTCGACTTACATATAGTACATACCAGCATAGGCTTTGGCTGCGTGCATTGCGCGTGAGTTTATTGTTACGCTCCATAATTTGAGACACCGATACTCATACAGACAACAAAAGTTCAAGAAAACGCGGACCGCAGCGGCAGCACGCGTGACCAAATTCCCTCACCTCGTCACAATGACCTTGCACCTGCAAGATGTGCCGATTTCTGGCAAGAATGTGGCCATGGCAGTTACCGGCTGTGTCATCTTGGCCGTGATCTACACGATGTACACAGTGATGTCAACTGTGGGCGAGTATGATGACTTGGGACTACCATTAGCGGGAGAGCCCGATGGGAAGAAGAGATTCTCTTTGAAAACGAGGCTGAGGTATTACTATGACTGCGCCGCGCTGTACACTGAAGCCTATTACAAGGTAGGAAGATGCAACCAAACTGAATGACCTGCTTGCAAGCTAATTTATCGAGTGCAGTTTGGAAAAAAAGGCGAGACCGTCTTGGTGCCGGGCTACGGTGGTCGTGCGGACCTGATCATGCCGGAAAGCTCTGTGGAGTGGGCCATGTCACAGCCAGACACGGCGCTCAGCGTGTCGCAAGCCTTTCTGCAAGCCAATCTGTCAACATACAGTCTTGGTCACTCCAAGTATTGGGGGGACCCATGGCAATTCGCTTTGGTCAAGACGTCCCTTGGCCCTATGATCAGAAGCCTCATACCGGCAGTGGACGATGAGCTGCACTACATTGTGCCCAAGGTCCTGGGTATGGACACGGAGAACTGGAAGGAAATCCATCTCGATGAGTCGGTGCGGATGATTGTGGCAGCGGCATCAAGTCGCTTCACGGTCGGTCTTCCGCTGTGCAGAAATGAAGACTACCTAAAGCGGTCACTCGACATTATCGAAGGAGTCATGCTGACTGCTATCATCGGGAACTGCATCCCCTCAATCTTTTTGCCCGTCGTCGCCCGCCTGACCAGCATCCATACTTGGTACAACTTGGGCAAGATCAAGGAACACCTGCAGCCGCAGTACGCGGAACGCCTGGCCGCACTCAAGAAGGACAAGGAACACCAAGCTCAGGATCAGCTGCAAGCCATGCTCCAATTCGCGGAGAAGAGACGCCCCCAGGAAGTCAAGGACGTGCAGACCATGGCAATCCGGCTGGCGTCAACCAACTTTGTCAGCATGCATCAGACGTCGGGCACTGCGGTGCAGATGCTGCTCAACATCCTCGACTCAGACAAAGAATTCGGCATCATTGCCAAGCTGCGGGCAGAGGCCGACCGCGAGCTGGGCACCGACGGCACGGGTTGGACCAAGGAAAAGCTTATGAACATGGCCGGGTACGACAGCGTGGCACGGGAGTCGATGCGTGTGACGTTCCCCTTTGGCAACCGCGGCCTCCTGCGCAAGGTCATGAAGGACGGCATTGTGACGGATGCCGGTGTGCCGCTCAAGAAGGGCACCATCGTCGCCTTCTTGGCCTCTCAGGCGCAGATGGACCCGGCCAAGTTTGAGAACCCGAACAAGTTCGACCCTTGGCGCTTTTCTCGTGATCTGGAGAAGGAGAAGGAGAAGGAGAAGGAGAAGGAGACGCAAAACGGCAATGCCCAGGCACAGACAGACGATCCCAAGGCGGGATACCACAAAAACTCGTTCGTCACCACGTCGCCAGACTACTTACCGTTCGGCCACGGTCGTCATGCCTGTCCCGGTCGGTTCCTAGTCGATTTCGAGCTCAAGATGACCATGGCCTACATCTTGAAGCATTATGACCTGGAGCTGCCGGCTGAGTACAACGGACGGCGCCCGCCTAACCGGCAGATTGCTGAGCTCACGGCTCCGCCGAAGCGGGCGAAGATAATGGTTCGAAGACGCCGTGAGTAGGTCATGAGTGTTGGAAGTCCAGGGCACATGCGTACTCTAGGTGACGGTGGAACGGTGGATTAGGAGATGCAGTCGTGCGTGACTATATGCGTTAGCGAAGAGGATAGGTACGAAGCAGGTCGTTTCTAGTGATGCATTACTTACTTACTACTTAAGTCGGCCCGTGCGCCCCAAGTAGATACTGTAGCTCAAAATTCATCACTATCACAACGTCTGATTATGGTTTTAATTGGTCGTAAGCCGTTCTAATATAAAGAATATGTCTTTGAAGAAGGTTGCTAAAAATCCTCGCACGGAAATTCATCCAATAACGCGTGCGTTCATCGCTGGTGCTGTTCTCGTTAAAAATGCTTCGTAACACTCCCTCGTGCGCGCTCCCCAACATGCCCAGAGCACTATATCAAGGATGTTAAGTTGTAGAACGGATAAATCGGAGACTATGGGCCCTGGTTTATTAGCTCTTGTTCTATATCCAAATGATATTGGGTGTGGAAGGCCGAAGATCTTGATACGTGAACAGAAGGATAGAATCATCCGCATCACCACCCAAGATCGCCACCACAGCGAGCAGGCGACCTGGCAGGCTATCACGCATAAAATCTTCGAATCCATTGTCCCTCGATTGAGCATCTCGACAATCGCAAATGTAATGTACGAAGTCAGATACAAGGGAAGAAAGCTAGGGTGGAAGTCTCCGCTGACATCCACCCAGCGTCGCCAACGTGGTAATAAATAAATAAATTCAAAAGCTTCTCCCAACACCTAAACGAATAATATATCGTAAGATCTGTGTTGAGCGAAGGAAAACAGTAAAGAAAGAACGATTCTCTAAAATTCACTACACTAACGAGTTGCTATATAGATATTGCCAAAATCTCGATTACAGTATAAGACTTTAAATCTCTAAAAAAAAAAGACCTAGATTTCAGGGTCAGGTGCTAGCTCAGATGCAGACGATGCCGCCAGAGCGCCTCCAAAGTTTATGCAGAAACACACAACTCGGGTACAATGGGGTAGACCAGCTTCTTGCCCCTCACCAGACCCTGGCGCACCTCGTGCATGCCCTGCGCAACGGCCGCCAGCCCACCGGCGCGCTCCTCCTTGGGGTGGGGCTCAAGCAGACCCAGGTCCAACAGGCGCTGGGCGAGGGCGTACCAGGCCTCGGCGCAGCGGCGGTGGCCGGGGCGGGCGTCGAGGTTGTAGGGGGGCGCCCAGGCGACAGGTTCGCCAAACTGCGTGTAGGTGCAGACCCAGTCAGGCCGGACGGCCCGGCGCGTGTGACCGCGCAGCGGGAACGAGTCGAGTGCCACATAGCGGCCGCCGGCGAGGCCCAGGGCCTCGTAACACAGAGCCATGGAGGTAGTGTCGGTGATGCAGTCGAGCGCAAGTCCCAGGGCATCCGCCGTGTGTGCGCGCACTGCCGCGCCGCAGTCGGGCGAGCGGTAGTCGAAGGTGGCGGCGGCACCCAGGCGGAGGGCACGCGGCGCGCTATCGGGCGAGCACGTCGTCACGATGCGGAAGCCGCTGAGACGGAGCACCTGGATAGCCATGGAGCCTGTGGCCGTGCCGCCGCCATGGATGAGCACCCAGGGCCTCGAGTCGGTGGCCTCGGAGGAGGATGAGGATGATGATGAAGACGAGGACGAGGACGAGGACCGGGGGGCGGCTGGGAGCTCCGAGGGCATGGGCAGCCCCATGTGTTCGAAGAGCGAGAGCCCGACGGTGGCCACAGCGGCCGGGAGGGTGGCGGCTGTAGCGAGATCCATGGCAGCCGGTACATGCCAGACCAGACGCGCGGGTACGGCGACAAACTCGGCAAAGGCGCCATTGTCGCGCCGCAGCGGGTTGTTGCCGAAGATGCCGCCCACGACCTTGTCACCAACGCAGAGCTGCTTCATGTTCCTCTCCTTGCGGAATTCGTCTGCGTCAACATCGGCGCCAAGCTGGACGACGACTCCTGCAAATTCAGTTCCGCTTGTCGCCCCCGTCGCGGGCGACATGTCGGCCGACTTGCTGTCCACTGGGCTAAGAGACACGCACGCCACGCGGACCAAGACATCCGCCGGCTGGAGCTTGGGTAGGGGTGTGTCTATAGACACTGCGACAGTACTGGGCCCAGTAATCTTGAGCGCCGACTGCTTGCTAGGGAGCGTCGTGGTCGCTGCCATTTTGTCCAAAGGTCGTCGTTACACACGAGAAACGAGAGCACTGGCGGTAGTAAAGGCTGCGTGTTTGGATTGCCAACAAGATCAGCCAGACATACAGCGTGCAGAGCCTTAGGATATGAGACGTCGTCGCGGCGTTGTGTTCCTGTTCAAGTACTGTGCCACGGGCAGAGAGACTCACTAGGTCTAGCTCGGTCACCGTCGTGCATCTCTCCAGACACCTCTGTCTATGGCTAATTCGGGAGAGGGGTCTAAATCGCGCGGAGTATAGTATAGAGTAGTATCTAGACTCGAAACGGCAGCCCGGAAGATGTCCTTGTTAGCGATAGGTTCTACACTCGGGGTCAGGAGCAGCAAACGGGAATATTGGTCAGACTTCATCGACGCCTCCGCATAGTACGTGAGGATGCTACCGTAGTCTCTAGGCATGTGACATGTAAGACTGCAGGCGTGCGCTCGCATGCATGTTTGACGTCCCACCTCCACCCCCACCGGCGAATCCTTCAGCCCGCTGCACTTCCCAGGCTCCTTTGGCGCGTTCACATACACGATCAGATTTTGGTACATAATCAGATAGGCCGCCGCGGCCTCGGTGCTCGCATTGAGAGCCGGAATATTCGATTAGGCCCCCACGACTATGCCCTTCTAGCCACGCAGTGAGACGCGGTACAGTCAGACAAGCCGCACCCGTTTCTCGGACCGGGCCCCTTTGTCGTTAGTTAATTAATGGGGAAAAGACGATCACGTGAGAAAATACCGAGCACATCCATCCAACTACTGTTCAGCTCAGCACATGCCACGGACTATAGCGATGCGAGCGATGCGAGCAATGCTCTGTCCCACACGTCGCCGTGGGAGAGACCCGGTAAACATGCAAGCTGCGCCAGATATATCTGTACAGAGATGAAACTTCATTCGCAACGAATCCAGCTTGTCCCTGCCTTGGTTGCAGACACAATCAGAAAGTTTGCCAAATAACCATTCTAACTTGCCCGGCAACAATCCTCTACCAGACGACACCATGGGATATTCAGCACACGCCCAAGAGCCCATTGCCATCGTAGGCTCGTCGTGTCGCTTCCCCGGCGGCGCCAGCTCGCCGTCGAAGTTATGGGAGCTCCTGGAGCAGCCCCGGGATGTGCTGAGGGAGTTTGATCCCGAGCGCCTCAACCTGGACCGCTTCCACCACGCCAACCCGGAGATGCACGGGTCCACCAATGTGGTCAACAAGTCATATATCCTCGAAGAAGATACAAGGCTCTTCGACGCGTCCTTCTTCGGCATATCGCCCATCGAGGCAGCGGGCATGGACCCGCAGCAGCGACAGCTACTGGAGACGGTCTACGAGGCGTTCGAGACGGCCGGGCTGACGCTGGAGCAGCTGCGCGGCTCACTGACATCAGTGCACGTGGGCACCATGACCAACGACTGGACCGTCATCCAGCTGCGCGACCCCGAGACGCTGCCGCAGTATACGGCCACGGGCACGTCCAACAGCATCGTCTCGAACCGCATCTCATACGTCTTCGACCTCAAGGGGCCCTCGGTCACCATCGACACGGCCTGCTCAAGCTCGCTGGTGGCGCTGCACCAGGCGGTGCGCGGCCTGCTTGACGGCGACAGCGAGGCCGCCGTGGTCGCGGGCGTCAATATGATCCTGGACCCCACGCTGTACATCACCGAGTCGAAGCTGCACATGCTCTCGCCCGACGCGCGCTCGCGCATGTGGGACAAGGACGCCAACGGGTATGCGCGCGGCGAGGGAACTGCCGCGCTGGTGCTCAAGACGCTGTCGCGGGCGCTGGCCGACGGCGATGCCATCGAGGCCATTGTGCGCAGCTCGGGCGTCAACTCGGACGGCCAGAGCCAGGGCATCACCATGCCGAGCGCGCTCACGCAGGCCGCCCTCATCGAGCGCACGTATCGCCAGGCCGGCCTCGACCCGCGCCTGCGCGAAGACTGCCCGCAGTATTTTGAATGCCACGGCACCGGCACGCCTGCGGGCGACCCAGTCGAAGCGCGCGCCATCAGCGATGTGTTTGGTGGCAGCGCCACACCCGCAGAGCCCCTGTTTGTGGGGTCCATCAAGACGGTTGTGGGTCATCTCGAGGGCTGTGCGGGGCTGGCCGGCGTCATGAAGGTGCTGCTCGCCATCAAACACCGCGTCATCCCTCCCAACCTCCACTTCACAGAACTTAACCCTGCAATTGCGCCCCACTATAAGCCGCTGTGCATCCCCACTGCGGCCCGGCCCTGGCCGGCCCTCCCGCCTGGCGCGCCCGCACGTGCCAGTGTGAATAGCTTTGGCTTTGGCGGCACAAACGCGCACGTCATCATCGAAAGCTTTGAGGACGCGTCGCCGCCATGCTCTGCCAATCGGCGAGACAGCGCCCTAGGCCCGCTTCTGTTCTCTGCGGCCTCGGGGCCATCGCTACTGCGGACCGTCCAGTCGCACTTGGCTCATCTCAAAGCCCACCCAGAGCTCCCTCTCGCAGACCTGGCTGCGCTTCTGCAGACGCGCCGCACGACGCACAGGGTGCGCGCGCACTTCTCGGGCGCGTCGCGGGACGACATCCTGACATCGATGGAGCAGTGGATCGATGCCAATCAAAAGGCGCGCGGCGATGCGATAGGATACCAGCCGCGACTGGTGAACCCTAAGGAGGCCCCCGGCGTCCTCGCCGTCTTCACCGGTCAGGGCGCACAGTGGCCCGGCATGGGACAGGAACTGCTGCAGCGGTCGCCCGTCTTCCGCGCGACCATCGAGGAGTGCGAAGCCATTCTCCAGTCGCTGCCTGCAGGCGAGGCACCGTCGTGGTCTTTGATCGGAGAGCTGACCGCAGACGCGTCCACGTCGCGACTGGGCGAGGCTGCCATTGCCCAGCCCCTCTGTACGGCGGTGCAGCTCGGTCTTTGTGATCTCCTGTTCACGAGCGGCGTACGTTTCGATGCCGCTGTTGGCCACTCGTCGGGCGAGATCGCTGCCGCGTACGCAAGCGGCATCATCAATCGCACGGGCGCTATGCAAATCGCCTACTACCGCGGCTATCACGCGAAGCTCGCGACCGGTGCGCAGGGCCAGCGCGGTGGCATGATAGCAGTCGGCTTGCCGCTGGACAAGGCTATGCTATTCTGCGGGCGTCCACAGTTCAAGAACCGTTTACAGGTAGCAGCAAGCAATGCGCTGCAGAGCGTGACCCTGTCTGGCGACATGGACGCCATCGAGGAAGCGAAAAGCGTCTTTGACGCCGCAGGCACATTCGCCCGTATGCTCAAGGTTGATACGGCGTACCACTCACACCACATGCTCCCATGTGCCGAGCCGTATCTCAAGTCCATCCTTGCGTGTGACATCCAGGTCCGGCCGCCGGCGCTGGGCAGATGCATCTGGAACTCGAGTGTGCGCGGCGACACGGAACTCCTCAAAGGTGATTTGAGCGATCTAAAGGGCTCTTATTGGGTCTCTAACATGGTCAAGACTGTCTTGTTCTCCCAAGCCGTCGAGTCGTCCATTTGGCACGGCGGGCCCTTCGACCTGGCCATCGAAATCGGACCACATCCCGCTCTCAAGGGTCCAGTCGAGCAGACGCTCAAGGTCGTCTACGGCTCCGTTCCGCTGTACACGGGTGTTCTGAAGCGGAGCGGGAGCGACGTGGAGGCCTTTTCGGCGTCCATCGGCACGGCCTGGTCCCAGCTAGGTCCCTCCTACATTGACTTCGCCGGCTACCACAGTGCGTTTGGCGATAATGCACAGCTGCGGGCGTCCGATACGCTCAAGGACTTGCCATCGTACGCCTGGGATCACGATCAGATCTACTGGAGGGAATCCGCCATCTCGAGGCGGTACCGCACAGGACGCGACAAGGGTAACGAGCTGCTGGGCAGGCGTGTCACCGACGACAATGAGCGCGAGATGCGCTGGCGCAACTTGCTGCGCCTGACTGAGATGCCTTGGCTCCGTGGCCATGAGGTTTTGGGTGAAGTCCTCCTTCCCGGCGCCGCCTACGTGTCTTTTGCCATTGAGGCTGGCAATCAGATCGCAAAGACGTCCGGCCGTGTGCTCAGCATGGTCGAGGTCGAGAATGTGCAGATCCTACGCCCTGTCGTCGTACCCGACGACAAAGACGGCGTCGAGACCCTCTTCACAACCCGTGTCGTCAACGGTGCCAGGCTGAGTAGCATGCTGCAAGCTGAGTTCTCATACTATGTCTGCATAGACGCCGCCATGGGGACCATGGTCCACGCTTGCACCGGCAATCTGGTCATTCACTTCGGTGAAGACGTCGAGGAAGAGTCAGTGCTACCAAGCCGAGATGTCGCTCGGAAGCATCACACCATCGACGTCGATTGCAATCGTATCTACTCGATGTTCTCCGAACTCGGACTCGAGTACTCTGGGCCGTTCCGTGCCTTGACGGAAAGCAGTCGATCTCACAACTATGCCACCGCCACAGGCACCTGGGATAGCGACACGCTCAGCAGCGACATCCTGATGCACCCTGCACTGCTTGACGTTGCTTTTCAGACCCTTCTCCTTGCCCGCGCCCATCCAGCTAGTGGCCAGACCACTGCAGCACTGTTGCCCTCGCACATCGATCGCGTGCGAATCGCCCCCTCGATATCTCGACAGGGCTCGTCTGGCGACACTACTCGTGTCGACTTTGAAAGTTGGGCACTCAATTCCAGCGCTGGTTCGCTAAAGGGTGACATCAACGTCTACGATATCACGTCACATCACACTTTAGTGCAAGTCGAGGGCCTGATGCTCAGCCTTGTCGGTGAACAGGACCCTTCACGTGACCGACAGGTGTTTGCAAAGACAATCTGGGAACCTGACATGGCCTTGGGTCTACCGATTCCAGAACGCGACGCCGCAGAGGACACCAAGTTGTTGGAGCTTACCGAGGATCTCGAGCGTGTGGCTTTCTACTACGCCCGTCGTCTTGCCAATGAGACGGCAACCGACGACCAGAGCAAATACCAGTGGTACCACCGACGCATGC